TCCGTTCCGCCAGTCAGCGCTGGCAGATCGGAGCGGGGAGGGGGGAATCCAGCCCCTCCCCTGTCACGACAGAGAGCCGTGACAGGATCGAGAGGTGAGCGAGCGCCGGTATGTGTTCTCTCACCTCCCGATCTACTGAGCCGACCTGTGACAGTCTCATCGTCACAGGTCGGCTAGAACTATGAGGTGAGTGAAAAGCCCCTCCCCCCTCATAGTTCTCCTTTAATCAGTAAGGGTCAGATGACCAGAGCGCCCTCTAGTGGCCAATCTACAAATCTCTATACTTTGTACAATGAACAGGAAACATTACAAAATGTTAAAAGTCCGATACAAAGCACTAGAAGGTAAATTTCAGGATATCTGCTCAGTACCAAATACAAAGTGTACCTGTCTCATGGCGTGGTCAGAGCGTGGACATTTACCTGCGCAGGAGCAGTTTCGGGTTCTTGGCCACACACTGCTCTATCAGCTCGCACAGCAGAGTCTTCATGACATCGGTGAGATACTCCAGCTTGCCGTGCAGAGCCACGGTGAGTAAAGACGCCGCGTGGCAGCGATCTCGCTGCGACAATGTAGACTGGGCATCCAGCGTCTCGATCAGCTGTAAGAGGCAGACAAAGGTGACCGTCCGATATGGCGAGCGTTGCACCGATCAATGCAATCTGTTAATCACGTGGCGCCGGAGACATCATGGAGGTCACACCTTTCCGAAACACGCGTTTCGGAAAGGGGCTACCTGGCTGTATCCCAATGGAAACGCGCGACAAAAACGCCCCCAAGAAGTTCCTGTACTTTTTTGGGCGTAACAGCATTTTATGTGGCAGACAATAGATGTTCCCCCCCCCCCCCCCCCCTCTATTCAAGCTTGGTTTACCATTTTTACATAAATGCCATTTTTTTTACCCCTCTTTTAACCCTTTCGCTGCCATGCCTTCCGTAACGACTCTTCGCACCTCAGCTGGCCACACCATTTTTGCAATTTTTTCCCATCGTTTTGATTTTTCTATTGCTGCGTTGCTAGCGTTTGTGAAAGACCCCTCAAATCAGTGGCCTGACAACCGCCATAGCGACCCAGGTGTCCGCTATGGGGCCCCGGCCAGGGCATCCCTCTGATGACGCCTGGTTCGCTATGGCATGTAAGGGTGCTGGCTGTCACTGGCACAGCTCAGCAGCTGCGTTTCCCCCTCACAGCCGCCGCGGAGCCGAGTCAGTGACAGCCAGCAGCTGCTGCACAAGAGGCCGGCGTTCGCAGTGAAGGAGGAGGCGGGGCCCGCCTAAGAGCAACCCCGCCTCCTCTTACATCACTGGCCAGTGACCTAAGAGCAGGCGGGGCCCGTCAATAGAAGAGGCGGGGCCCGGGGACGGAAGAGGAGGCGGAGCCCGGCGACCACGGAGGCGGACAGCGCGGACAGGGAAGAGGGGTGCAGCCCACCTGAGACCCTGCAGAGCCCACCATAGAGAGTCTATGGCGGGCTCTGCAGGGTCACTCTCAGTTGGGCTCTGCAAGGGGCATAACTAGCAATCACGGGGGCCCCATACAAAATTTTGCTACGGGGCCCCTGCGATTTCTAGTTACGCCCCTGCCCCACACCATATATTTTGTGAAGGGGAATGCCCGGTATGACATCGCAGGACTGCTGAGGAGGACATAGACTCTGGGCTCTCTGTACCTTGGTGAGGAACAGCTTGTTATTGAGGAGGTTGGAGAGCTGGTTCAGGCCTTGCTCCACGGTGGTCCTCCTGTTTTCCGGAACATCCAAATTCTTCCGCAAAGGCGAGACGGTGTCTCCAGGGAAGAAGATCTTTTCAATGTAGGTGTTGTAATCTCGGTAGGGAATGCCCGAGCCTTCAATATCACTGGTGAGGTCCATCATTTCCGTCATGAGATCTGAAAACGGACAGAAGGGAAAAGAAGATCTTCAGGCTGAAGAACCCGAACGGAGGCCACCGGAAGATTTAAGGAACGGGACCATACCAGTGAACTCTTTGCGGCACTGATCCCCCACGCTGGTCTCCAGGTTCTCCAGTTGCACGAGAACCTTCTTATAATCTCTCATTGCCAACTTACTCTGCCGCCTGCAAAACACCAACATTACAATGATGCCTCCGGGATGTCTACAACCAATCACAGACTCCGCTACAGTCATTAGTCCACTTTTCTTGTTGTGCCGCCCCAATAGGGGCATAGAATATGTCAGCAAGACCACGACCACTGCGACTGGACTTGAAAAAGACTTTGTCATCACTCATGGTCCCCATGCTTGGGGAAAATCTGAAGTGTCCAGAGGTGCCAAACTGTAGGGACTTGTCGGCACAGAGCTCTTAATTGCTGCCAAAAGGTGCAAGTACTAAATACTGAGTTGTAAGGGGGTTTTTTTTGGGGGGGGGCGGGGGGGGGGATTGTGTTTTATTTAAATGTATTCATTTTTCCCTTTTTTATATGAAAAGTCCACTTCTGCTCATCGGTGTGAAGAACAAACAAAGATCCCCTGCGGTTAAATGTTCTATGACAAAGAAAGGAAACCTCCGAGGGGGGTGAATACTTTCTACAGTCACTGTAGATGATTTTGTCATTCCTGGGTTGGGCGAGTTCAATAAAAGTAAATGATCCTGGTCAACGCTGCCAGGGCCTGTAACCCACTACGCTGGAAAAGCTCCAGCCCACCCACGCTCACCATGTGGCTACGTAAGGTGGACGAAACACGGGTAATGGAGGAGCTTACCATACTGACCACAAGTTCCGGAAAGCATGGTCATAAAATGAACTAGGATCACACTCATCCGGCACATTATTATTCTGAGTTGCCCCACCCAAGCGGCGGCCATATTGGGTGGGGCACGTGAGATTAATAACGTGATGGATGAGTGTGATCCGAGTTCATTTTATAACTTCATTGCTGTGCTGTATGTGTGTAGTTCATTGCTGTGCTGTATGTGTATAGGTCATTGCTGTGCTGTATGTGTGTAGTTCATTGCTGTGCTGTATGTGTATAGGTCATTGCTGTGCTGTATGTGTATAGTTCATTGCTATGCTGTATGTGTGTAGTTCATTGCTGTGCTTTATGCGTATAGTTCATTGCTGTGCTGTATGTGTATAGTTCATTGATGTGCTGTATGTGTATAGTTCATTGCTGTGCTGTATGTGTGTAGTTAATTGCTGTGCTTTATGTGTATAGTTCATTGCTGTGCTGTATGTGTATAGGTCATTGCTGTGCTGTATGTGTATAGGTCATTGCTGTGCTGTATGTGTATAGGTCATTGCTGTGCTGTATGTGTATAGGTCATTGCT